TAGATTCCCCTCTCCCCGCTCCGATCTGCCTGCGCTGACTGGCGGAACGGACGGGGGAGGGGGCGGGTACAGCTGGCTCTGCCTCTAGATAGGCAGAGCCAGCTGTCACTCACGCAGCTGGGCGGATCCCGTCATCTACGTCGGGATCCGCTCCGGCTGCGGCGTCTCAGTATACTGCGAGCTATAGCTCGCGGTATACTGAGCTTAGGGTAACAGGAGGACACTAGCTTGTGTCCTCCCGTTACCCTAAGGAGAACTATGGGGAAAAACACTGACCCCATAGTTCTCCTTTAAGCATTCTTTATAGAGTGCTGATATTTAAAGCAAAAGCACAGCTCATATAGAACAGGGATCAAGTCACACAACCAGAAGTATGAAGGCATTTACAATGAGCTAAGCTCAGAAACTAAAACTAGATAAATGAATGCAATACAATTGTACAGTTGGGAATAAGCCTACAAAACAATCATAATCATTGTTTGATTAGCAACAGCAAATTGTAGTGATAGCCCTGTTAATAGTGCAAAGTAGTTTTACAGAAACAAATATAAACCATAGTCTTTATTAAATGAGAATTATGGGGTGAGTGAAATACACTCATCCCCATAATTCATGTGACCTGTGCCACTGAAGCTGTCACACGTCGGCTCTATTGATTGGGAGGTCGGCAAACACATAGCGCCGATTGCTGAGTTCCTGATCCTTTCCCTTCAGAGAGTGGTGACAGTCAGTCACCGATGCCCGCAAGGATTCCCCCCTTCCCTCTCTGTTTCTCCAGCGCTGACTGGAGGAATGGAGGGGGAGGAAGTGGGCACAGCTGGCTCTGCCTCCATAGAGACAGAGCCAGCTGTCAATCAGCCAGCATCCGTCCCGGCTGCATCACGGCTCTGCGCTCTCAGCATATAGCGGTCAATAGCTTGCTATATACTGAGTTTTGGGTCACCTGAGGACATTAGTATGTCCTCCTGTGACCCTGAACAGAACTATTGCCAAAAATGGTTAGGCCATAATTCTTTTTTAAATCCTTTAAGTTACAGCATCAGAAAGGGATATATTCAATTTTCCTTTTTATTGTTTTATGTCTGAGTCCTTCCTTACTTTGCACATGGTTGTGTTCCAATATCTCATATCTCACCTAAGTAAGAAAGGTAATATTTGGCTAATGGTCCTTTTTTTATTTTAGGTACATGTCTTATATCCTAATAGAGTTGTAAACTTTTGAGGTTGTTTTAGCCCATATTGCACAGGCACTAAAAGTGCAAACTAAAGCATTAGTATCCTAATTCTGGCTTAATTACAGTGATGATATTTTCATAAGGCATAACAGCTTTCTCTTGTTAAAATGTATGGTACCTCCAAAAATGATGTTTAATATCCGTATTGTGTTACTCACGGGTCTTATTAAATGCAGTCCGTCATTTATTTTTTGTGCCAAATACCTAGTGATCCTGCCAATTGCCCTTGGTTCTATTTTTCAAACTGACCACGCCTAGCAAGGAAGCAGATCAATGCTGGTGTGGTCAGTTTGCACCCCCAGGATCAATGCTGGTAGATACAGGACGCTATGCTTGTATCTCTTGTAGTTCCTTTTGCGTGCACGCAAAAAATGAGGGAATTGGTGCTAAAGGGCCTATTAGATCCAGATAATGCCTGACAGAGATTATAACCCTTCCCGATTATATTAAAAGTGCTTTTTGTTGTGTCCAGGATAGCGAGTGAGGTGAAGTCTCTCCAATGGAGAAAAAAACCTAAACAGAGGTTCTAACCATTCTACTCTATCCAAAGCAAAAAAAAGCTAAGCTGAGGCTCGGCTTTAAGAATTCTTTGTCTGTTAGCAGTTGGTGAGAGTCGCTCTTATAATTCATTTAGGCCCATTTTTACTTCAACAGCTAATGGATGAGACTTCAGCTACTAACTAGCTACTAACTAGCTACTGTATGTGAGGCCTAGTTCACACCTGAGCCTTTTTTTTTTTTTGCGCATTTCCATGTGTATAGATAGGCATGCAAACATGCAAAACACAAAAGTCAATGCATTCCAATGTGAAACATTCACATCTGCGCTTTTGTACGAGCGGACCAAAACGCGCAACGCAAAAAATGGTACATGCACAATATTGCTGGCGGGTGCCGCGGGTGGTGGTGTGAACGAGCGGAAAAAGGCGCACTCATTAAAATTTGCGTGTTTTTGTCCGCACTTAGAGCTTCACCAGATAGCTGCAAGTGGTATCTGTGATATATTATTAGTATTTCTATTTGAGTTTAAAAGAAAAATATATATATTTTTTTACTACTGAACATAATAAACATGTAGAGCTAACTTTACTGGCGTCAGTAGGTATTGACATTCATTTGAATGATAGCTTACATTACTAATATCCCAAGGACACTTACTTTGCGTTAAAGCCTCAAGCATATTCAATGTTAGTGATGGTTCTTATCCAGGTTGTCTAACAAAAAGAAGCGTCAGTCACTTTGGTACAATAAACTTTGAATCAAATTATTCCCACATAGTAGAATATGGGAAGGTGGGTGGAGGGAGAGCATGCATCAGGATACTCCAAATTACAGTTGGTCTCAATCACCAGACTAGGCTCTTCTATTCATAGGCTATATAAGATGCCACCTTATATGTCAGTCAGCTTCCATTAGACTATGCTGAGTGGTTACCTAGTGGACATCACCATAGAGAGCAGAGTTCTAATAGGTTATTGATCATAGAATTCTAGGGCAGGAGAGATAAACCTTCTCAACTAAAATACATTCATTCAATGGAGGGCAATTGCAGTTGCTTCTTTAGGGCTGACTTCTCTGCTTTCAGTTGTGAGACTTCTGCAGCATCCATTCTCCTAGGGCCTAAGCCTGTTGGAGTATGCTTAACAGTATTTAGTACAGGAAACGTCATGACTCACGTCCCAGCTTCCTGATTGGTCAGGAAGCCACGCTACCTAGCAACAAGTGAAGCCGGCTTCCTAGCCAATCAGGAAGCCGGGAGGCAGGTCATGGCGTGCCGCCGGGCTCCCTGATTGGTCAGAAAGCCAGGCAGCCTTGGCAAGTGAACCCGGTGTTCTTTCGCTAGAACACTGGCTTCACAGGCATTGAGGAAGGCAGGCGACGGGTCATGATCCGACGCCCGCCCTCCTGATAATCGGTGCAGATGGCATCGGTACTCGTTACTTGGTATCGGCGAGTACCAGAAAGAAATATCGGTACTCGATACCAAAAAAAATGCCGTATTTATTCAATACATATTTTTTAAAATATGTATTTTTTTTTAAAATGTGACTTGGATAAACATTTTATATAAAGTATTTGTGTTGAGCATCTGTTTGTTTGCTACTTCACTTGGTATGCGTTTGAAGATGTTATTTTGTTACTGTTTCTTAGGTATTCATCGTTTTGATTAGTGACTGTAATACTTCTCAACCAGATTATGTATGCGTGTTTCATAGAGAATGTGATACTTCTTTCAAAAGCCAAGCCTGAACTGAATACAAAAATGGTGCTAAAAGCTTATGTGTTGCCTTATATTGCCCTCTTGTGTCTATTGGAAGGATGCACTGTGGTTTTTCTAAAACTAACATGAAACTTTTCTTCTTGGTCATATTCATACACACATGAAATGCAGTTAACACTAATGTATTCTTTTTATCAAAATGTCTGAATTTTTGTTTTTGGACCAGAAGTGCAGATCAAAATATTAACACCTCCTTCACACTATGACGTTCCATTGCTGTACACTACTGCATACAAGTTTTATGTGTGTTGTCGTAAAGCAACCATTACATCAAGAATGGGCTGGCAATGCATGGAAAAGAAAAAAACAGACCTGCACCTTATTTTTAATGCAGCGTACCCCAACTCCAGCTGTGCAGCAGTGTGAGTCTGTTGACTCCTACTGTACTTGTGTATTAGGGTACCAATCTAAATTAATGGCCCCCCAAAACAGCACACAGAGTACTTTGTGTTACCGTTGTGGGTGTTGTCACCTTTGCAGGTGAGGAGGAGAGGCCGAGTCTGGAGTTTCTGGGTTATTTGCTCCTCCCCAGTGCAGCCTGTAGAGGCCTCTGGGGGCAGTGTACACGCTGTATGTGTTCCTCAGGCAAGGGGGGAACGGTGCCCACTTCGGGGCTAAGAGGATGGGGAATGCAAACACTGAACCCGCCCACAACCTCCATTGCTATGAAAGCCTTTTTTAATGTAGCAGCCATTTTGTAAAAGTCCAACATCCAAATGTATTCTCTTTTTTTTTTTGTTTACTCTCAACGTAATTGTTTTACTTATAATACACCCTACTATTTATCACTCCTCCCTCCTAAACTATTCATCCTTCTATGTTATTATTTTGAACATGCAAGCTCTTTATCAGGATGAAACTAAGGGGAAACTAAAATTCTATTTTACTGGCTCTAAGCTTCTACAATAACTATAGGATTTATTAATCTAAACATAATGAGGTATTCGGCCAAATTTGCCACGCCTTCACGCAACATGTCTAAAGTATGCAACATGCTTGGGGTGCCATTACTTGTTAATGGCACCCCGAACGAGGCTGGTAAAACATGTTTTGGGCCATAAACACACACAAAGTGCGGGAAGCTGGCAGCTGAAAATGCTTGTCTGTCGCACATGCGGCAGCCTATTGAAATGAATGGGCGTGTGTGTGGCAAAGAAAGCAAAAAGGCACGCAAAAATATTATTATTGATAGGCTGACTTTGGGATGGAGTCATAAAACACAGCCAATAATAATTGAGGAGCATTGTATTGCATTCATACCCACCCAGAGTGGGAACTCTGAGGTGATGTGATCGTGCAAAATTTGTTATTAAAAACTTTGCAAATGGTATATTTGACCTGATGAAGATTTCTTTCCCAGCTGCAATAATAAACTGCATTTTGACTAAAATGGAGGATAACCAAATTCACTTTAATTATTAATTCTTGTAAACGTACATTTACAAATTTTAATCAATGTGTTTTTGTTTTCTGTCCTCTCAAAGAACCTTGTTTGTCATCTGTTTACATCATCTGAACAAAAAAGAAATGGAGAAATGGAAGTCATTGCCCAGCTGCAATGTTCAACTGTTGAATACTATGATAAACTTCTAAAAAATGTAAGCATTACTTGTTTTATAGTTCTAGCTGTTCTAGCATGTGCTATTGGCTGAACACTAAAGCATAAGGTTACCATCTTGTACAGCCTCTGATTTAAGCTGACCTCCAGGTAATCATCTAAATACACAGTTGAAGTACATCTTTGTAAACTATTTTACCTGCTGAAGGATTTGCAATTAATTTGCTCTTGTAATCTTGGGACTGTCTGGGACTTCCATACAGACTACTTTGCAACTAAGCAATTAGCTTGCTTAAGAACTCATCCCAGTCTGTGATCAGGCTGTGAAGTGGCCCTGTGTTCTATCCCCCTTTAAGCATGTTGACAATGTTAGACTGACTAATGTAAAGCAACAGAGTGCTGGGTCTCCCTCTCGCTATACGAGTCCCTTTGTGATGGGGTTATGGAAAGGTGTATGGTAACAAAACACAGTCATTATATTCACTATACATTATTTTATATATCTAGATTTAATTGTGTTTTTTTTGCCTTGAAGATACACTACACCTAAGGTTACTCTACTTCTTTAAAGCCTTGTTCTTTTAGCCCATCAGCCAGTGTAGCCAGAATGCTCTCTTTGGAAGCTAATGGATCATTTAGACAGATATCTAAACGTGTAATAATTTCTTAGATTTTAGTGCAATTATCTACTAAGGCCTCATACTTACAAAATTAGATATCAAGTCAGACAGAGTGGCTGGATGTGTCCATGCTAATCGTTGTACTAATCTGGACTGGGAAAGAGGTGGAATGTTCTTGGTTGCACTAGGCAACATCTCCAATTTATGTGCCTTAGGATTGAAAAGTGACAGTTGCTTATGAATAGAAACATAGAGTTCACTAAACATGCCATAACACAGCAATCTCTGAATTCTCGTGTCTCTCAATAATCTCCTAGAAATAGATTTTGCAGTAAGTACAAAAATCCATTTTTTTGTGTCCCACTCCTCCCTTTTCTAGGTAATATGTAGTGTTTATAAAAGGCAAAATGTCTTACCTTAAACGACTGACCACGTCCCAATTCTTTTTTTCTGCGCTGTAGTGTGTGAGGGTCACTCTTGCATCTTGGTGGTTCTGAGTAAAGTATTGAATGCAGCATACAATTTAATTTTATTTATTTAGTGTTATCGCAAAGATGCAGTAACCCTTTAAAGTGGGTGTAATATATCTGTAATGTCAAATGCATAATCATATGTATTTGTTTAGGTTTAGCAAAATTAACATATTTGTTTTCACAGATAATTTCATCATTAATTATTCAGATTACAAGAAGCCAGTCAGATGAAAACAAAAAAGAGTACGTGGATTTACATTTCATATTAATAATAGCAGCCTGCAATAATTTTCAAGCCTGTGACTACAAAAATTATGTCTACAATCAGTTATTGTTATAATTATTTGTGATCTTTTAATGCAAGACATTTAGAATTCGTTCAGGTTGTCATGTTTACCCCAGAATATTTATTTGTTCTGTTATGCTTAGGGTAGCCTTGGATATGAAGCATTAGTCAATGCAATTTGGCCATTTGCATTGGTTGGGCAACCACTTACTAGGGGAAATAGTTAAAGGGCGGTTATTATAAATAAATTTCCATCCTTTGGATACCCTATTTTATTCACTTTCAGTTGAGCCACTACCTCCTCCTATTGACCTACTCCAGCTCTAATTCTATCCGATGACCCTGGAGAAGGCATCTCATTGCAATCTTACTGTGGATGACTTCTTTACTAAGTTCTTTGGAGAAAGTGACACACATGTACAGTTGGCTCATGAGAACTAGAGCATTCTATGCTTATGTAGGCTGAAGCTGGTGGTAGAGGTCTTCAGATCATTGTTTTGGATCAAACAAATAATATAGACCAACGTAAACCAAAGTATCTCAACTTCCATCAGACGTGCATATAAACTGAAAATTACTAAACATAACATTATACATTGGGTTGAGAATGTCACACGAAAAAGGAAGAGAGAAAAAGAAAGTAAAGTTCCAAAACAAGGTGGGAGATGGGGAGGGGGGCATGTGAGAGGGGAGAAGGAAGAGGATTGTTTCCCTACGAGTTCCACAAAAGGCTGTATTCCTCTGAGACAGTGAATTCATTCCAATAAGTCTTCAGATCATTTGAGGCAAGTTAAAGAGGGGGTATTTGCAGGATGCAAGGGTGAGAGGGGCAGTTGATTACGTGTAACAATTAGTAATTAGTATGAACTTGAACGAGTTTCTTTTTAAACAATTGCACCTTCATGCTTTCTGGGACATTGCCGTTTCATACAAAAGGACATTGCAGTTATATGTTAACATGTAAGCATTGAGGTAGACTATTAAATGCTTTTGTTTTTCCAAACAGTATTTTGGATGAGCATGTACGCACAATATCTGTGACCTGTATATGTGTTCTTACATTGCCTGAAGTTGCCCCATTGCTGGAAGCGCTGCTTCTGTATCATGGGTCTGGGCCAAAAGAGGTTCTTGACAACTACTTCTTGGAAGTTTTAAATGATGCCGTGTTGAGGTAAGTTAGCAAAAGCATATTTAACTAAAACATTAAAACACTCATACAAAATTAAAAAAAGGAAGCTTATTTTGCTCACAAGTACCATGCATTAAGGCTTTTTTTTTAACTCATCAATGACTGCACATATTTTATAGAGAAACTCCAGGAATTAGGAAAATTAACCCTTGCGTTGGGGCTACCCCTGCACTGTGGCTACCCCTTGCATTGTTAAAGTTAACTGCTCGATTTGGTCTAGGGGCTGGATTAAAGAACAAATACTTATCATACCTTGATCCCTCCTGGCTCTTCAGCCTCTTCTCCCCTCTGCTCTGGCAGTCTAAGCCCTGCTGATGTTATCATGTCTAATGCAGGTCCATTCATCTGCATTAGGCATGAGGGCGCCAAGGAGCCGGAATGGAGATGGAGAGAGATAATCATTGACTGCAGCAGGACCATGGATCAGGTCAGTATATCTTCTGTATTCCGGCCCCTAGGCCAAAACGAGCAGTTACCCCTTGCAGTGCAGGGGTAGTACCACTGCTGGGGTAATTTTGTTAATAGCTGGAGTTCTCTTTAACATGCACTGACAGTGAAATTATTGTTTCTGCTAATGATTGCTGAAAGTCCTGCTGACTGCAAATTTGCTGGACAAGATTTGAACCTCAGTTATCAAACTGATATAACATGCTGGGGCATCCACTACTGTGAGTAACATTTCAGTTCAGATTTAAGGTTTTGATTTATAGCAAGCACTCCTTTATCTATATACAGCTAATTTTTCTTTAGAGACATTTTCCACGTTCTATAGCAAAAATGGTTGCATTTATAAAGTCTTGGATTGATGTGTAATGTTTAGTTTCTCATTTCTTCATCAAGAATACAAAACCTACTACTTCAAGCAGATACTTTATAAGGCCAGTAGTGTCATGAGTGCTCACTCGAAGAACTTATTGAAAATAATAGTCCAAATGACATTATATTACCTTATTTAACCATTATGATCATTTCCACATTATTTGTCGCCTGTGTCAGATGTATATGTTAAATGGCAACTGTAAAAAGAGAAATATGGGACTGCCATTGCGGTTAGTTGCCTGGCTGTTTCTGGATTCAGTGCTTTGAGTCACTGACTGGGAACAAACATGCATATTACAAAGTGAAGTCAAAACTCCTGATGTGCACACTTGTTCCAGGTCAGAGAAAGTACCGAGGGCGCTAGAATAGAATGAAAGCCAGGCAGTCAGCATTTTGGGGGTTTTAAGCATTTTTAGTCTTATTCTCTCATGACAGGACTGACTGTAGATCTAAACTTTCTGCCATGATGTGATGATCTGACTCCCAAAACATCAGTATTAAACTCACATTTGCTGCATATATATGCGTATGATGACTGCAGTCACCATGTATGCATACTCTACTTAATACCATATGTCTGTTGCCAATGCAGCCTGTCATAGAGTCAGTCTAGACCTACAGTATTTTTGTTACATTAGTGGGAATAGCTTAACATCCCTTGCAGTTGCACAGAAGATATAACAGCCTGAATCTATTAAACAATAACGGGATAATGACCCAGCATAAGTTATTAGACTGTATGGGCTCATTGTACAAATGCTGGAGAAAAATAGATCAAAAGTGAAACAGCTGACCGTAGCGCAGTCAGGATTTATCTGTCAAATTCAGCAGTGGATTTTTTTGGACACTATATGCAACTGATGTAGTTTTGCACAATGTTTTTCTGATTCAATTTTTGTATATCAGCCTTATGATGTTTGTGAAGATTTATTATTATGATTTAAACCTTCTGTTACTTAAGCAGGAAATGATTTGGAAAAATTGGTAACAATAAGGCGAGTTTGGAATCCATATATTTACTTTACTTTGGTTTTATATTTAGTAATATTACCATCTAGTGGCAGACTTTGGTAACTGGATAAATTAACTTTGTTTTAGTGTGTTTTTTTTTTACTTACAAGGCATGTATTTACAGAGTCTGGATACAGAAGTATATTCAGCCACTTGCACCATGTTTCATGAGCATAGAACTCTTTTAGCTGTGTGGGCCCCGGGAAGACAGCACAGAAAAATGTGGCAGAATTTAAATTTTCACACGCATTAGTACACTACAAGCCTATACTTTGCTGGTGCTTGTGTGCTATACATTAAATTGGAAGCCAGAGTATTCTAATCAGAAGTAGGAACACACATTTTTATTTTCTTGTTCACGTTTATAATATACTCTTTGTGTTGGGACCATGACCATCTAGTCCGGGGGTAGGCAACCTTGGCTCTCCAACTGTGCTGAAACTACAAATCCCATAAGGCATTGCAAGCGACAGGCATGACTCCCGGAGGCAGAAGCATGATGGGATTTGTAGTTTCAGCACAGCTGGAGAGCCAAGGTTGCCTACCCCTGATCTAGTCCATGACTACCTTAAGCCAAGGAAAAAAACTATAAAAATATAAACCTTGTAAATAAATTGTAAACATAGAAGTTTGAAGGCAGAAAAGGAGCAAATGGTCTTTTTAACATTTTTGTTTGAGGATGTATGTTTATCCCAAGCTTGTTTGAGTTCACTTACTGTTGATTGACTCATTACCTCTACTAGAAGTCTGTTCCAAGCAACCATAAAATAATACTCTCTAACATTATTGAATTATACTAGTTTGAGGTCCTGCTCCTGTGTACTTGATCTCAGCTTCATATTTAAAATACTGCCTTCCTAAACTATATTAACATTATAAGATATATCCCAGTAGCTCATTGTCTAATCAGAACAGTCTTACTGATAACTTGGGAACAGAGCAGGGAGATAGTATATGAATTGAGATTAGTCTTAAAAGTCTCCCAAAACAAAATAAATGTAGTTGCAAGTTGTGAATCTTTTGCCAGGGCTATGAGCACTCTACTATTTACTTTGTCTTAACAAGCCGTAAATGAGCTTTTAAACAAGTCACTCCTACTTTCTGTAACAACAGGCAGCCTGGAGCAGTTCACCCTCAAAATTCACACCAGAAGCACTAAGGTTCAGATTAGGTTAAGTCCAGCATTCAGAAGCTCAGCACCCCACTCTTCCCTTTAGGAGCTACTAATTAGTGCTTGCAATAGAGACTGGAAGTTGTCTGAGAGAATAAATTATATATGGATTTCTGAACATCCATAGTCTGGCCACTGGTGCACTTTAATTTTTGGAAATTAAGAAATACTCCCAATGGAAGCACCAGTGATGGCCCCCGGCCATCCTTAGCTATGTAGAAATAGAACAAAAAACCCACATTTAAAATGCAGAAGTAGGTGACCATTGCCCTGGCAAAGCTTTAAATGGGAATGCATAACAACAGGATGTCCGCCAACACCCTTTTCAGTTCTGCGCGTGCTCCCATGGTCTATAATAGACACCTGTGGAAGGGTTAAATACTGACCTTTCTGGGAAAATATGCAGGGAGATCGGGAACTGAGCGATCAGCAGTATGTGATAGCTCAGTTCTCAATCTATAAAGCTGACGTGTGACAGCTGCAGTGTCACACGTCGGCTTTAATTATGGGGATGAGTGTATTTCACTCTCCCTATAATTCTCCTTTAAACAGTGGTATCAACCCTGCACAGTTTACCTATGTGAACACCTCTCCCTTATGTTATGCAGATGAGAAAATGGTGCTGTGTTCTGTAGTCAGTATCAGGAGTGGACAGTGACAATGCTTCAACTCCACAGAGTGAGCATTGTCACACGGGGCAAAGAAGGCTAAAAAATTAAACTAATACAGCCACCGCATCCGAGGACTAGTAAGCTGCAATATATACATTTGTTCTTGAGTTTAGATACATTTTAAATTGTTGACCCAACCAAGAGTTTTACCATAGACTGTCTACACTCTACAAGGAAGACATCTACCTAGCGTGAGTTTTTACATTTTGGGTAGAGTGATACAAGTTTCAGTTCCCTGCTGTGACTTAATTGGAGAGGTTCTCTCTGCCATACAAAGGTATGTTCTTATGGAGAATCTAGTAGAGGGCAAAGTATTCTACTTGTTACTCTCCTTAGGAATATATGAAGCATACAGTCAAGTAGCTGACACAGAAACATTCACTTAAAGCTTAGCCTGTAACAAAGGGAAAGATCTCTACTTTACAGTCCCAGACACTAGTAAAGAAAGAACAGAGGACTTAACACTACCCAATCTTCCCAAAATGGAAAATGTCTGTTGTGGGCAGAGTTGCATGTTTTTTTTTATCCTTTAAAATTACAATTTGGTAGAAATATGACTTTCAGCTTGATTTTTAAATTTGATTTAAAATCAGTCATAAAAGGTATATTGTTATTATTATACAGGATTTATATAGCGCCAACAGTTTGCACAGCACTTTACAATACAGGGAAGACATTATAATTGCAATACAATTCAAGACAAGATGGTAAGGAGGGACCTGCCCGTGAGGGCTTACAATCTAAGCGGGAGGGGCAAATGATACATGAGGAGTTAACTGTGTGGGGATGAATTGTTTGAGAAAGTTGAGTGGTTAGTTTGAAGTGTGATAGGCTTCCCTTAAGAGATGAGTCTTTAGTGATCGCCGAAAGGAAATGAGAGTGGGAGATAGACGGACAGGTTGGGGTAAGGAGTTCCAAAGAATGGGAGAGACTCTATTAGTGCTTACATTCCCAAGCTTTTTCTAAAAGTATTAGTTGCCTGGCTGTGTCTGGCTTCAGAACTTCATACACACAAAAAGCATGCAGCGAAAAAGTCAGAAACCTTTATAACTGTATAGGTGATAACTCAATCAGCTAAACGGCCAAGCAGCTAGAAATTCTAGAAGGAGGGGTCAGCAATGCTGGCCTGAAGCCTACTTTCTTTTAAGGTGCAAGTTTCCTTTAGGGTGGATTTAACAGCCACTTATAGGTAGGCTTATTTTGACAAGCATGGATTTGAATAATTTAGGTGATGGTCCTTTAATTCTTAGAATGATGAAACTTGCATGATGATATTGTCTTTATATCCATTCATACTTTTACATACAGGTGCTTTACTGTAAGTTTTAGGTGCTTTTTGTTAATTTATGTTGTAGTGTGTTTTAAGCACTTTAAGTGCCTTTTTGCATGGTTGCAGCACATGCAGAATGGTATACATATACAGTTCTAAAACACCATGCAATGTACCTAAAATGTACAAAATAAGTGCCTAGAAAGGTATGCATTTTTAAACACAAACATGGCTGTACTGCAGTATTTTATATTTATGTATTTAAATATTCCTTTGAACAATGTGTAATTTTAAGTATTCCAAAGATTTCTGGAAATATGCTTTTGATGTCACGGGTGTGTGTACAGTAACAGAATAGAAATGCTGGCCTTCATTTGCTATGTTGTCTATCATAAGAATAGATTCGTTTTAAATTGGTTTGTGTTTTCCTTGCAAATAAAGGAAGAAGATTGTGCTAAGTGAATCAGCAGTACTTAGCCTGTGGCTCCGTCATTTACCGAGCCTTGAAATAGCTGTGCTGGATCTATTTCAAAGATTAATTGCCCTCCAAAGCAAATCATTGAAAGAAATGGAACAGATTATAAAAGATTCATTCTTGGTAAGTACTTGAGACTAACAAGTTTATATTTATCCCAAAATTACGGTAGGAATATATGTTTCAATTAATATACAGGATAAATATAAATGTATGTGTTATAACATATGCATATGTACAAAGCCCCGTAAAATATAATTATTTTGAAAGTGCCATGTCTTTGCTTCAGTTTGGTGAGTAGTAAATCCAATAATATACCTAGAAGTGTTGATTCACTTTTTTCTAACACAGGATCTGCCTTATTGGATACAAATTGATTCAACAGTTTTGGTAAATTTAAAGGCAATTGTACAAATATTGTATAGTCAGATTGTAACATGAATAGTGAGCCTAAGAAAGCTCTGGTACAAGCAGTTACCTTTCTGAAGTCACATATTAAACTAAATGATATCCAAGTGTCACATGATGTCATAGTAAATGCAGCAGTTTCCGGTTAGAAAACATATCTGTACAAACAGCATGATAAAACCCAAGCAGCTATCAGTGCAAGTCTGAGATAAAGTTTAGCTGAAGCTCTAATCAGAACTGGGCGATTAAAAAAAAAAAAAGATAGTCCAAACTTTAAACATGCCCCAGAGTACCTTTAACTCGCTGCCACCGAAGTATGGCATACGGCAGAACACAACCGTTTCCAGCAGGCCAGCTCAGTGTGCCATATGTTTGTGTTTTTCACTGTTCTGCCATAAGCTCATGGTCGCGTTACCATCCATGAACTTATATCAGAAGGACAAACAAAAAGATACCTTGTCGTACTCCAACCCGGGAAAACCCAAAATTAGACGAGGAGGGGTGCTCCTAGTGACCTGCGGATGGTGCCGCCATACAGTATATAGATGAATAGATGTCACCAGCACACCAACAATATTGCAGTCCAAAGTGTTCGTTTATTGGAACGTCATGTCACCAGAACTAGCACTTTCAGGGCCACGCAGGGTCCACTTATATGGCTCCGCAATGACACAGTGTTCAAGATCACACCACATTATATAGACTAACAGATAGAAATGAATCAACCAATCAAAGTTAATTGACGTCATAATGACGTCATGCCCGCCAAAAAGAAAAAGTAAACAGCTGGATGGACTAATGCACGTCACAAAACATCATAGGAATACAAGAAAGCATACAATCAAAGCTATTTGTTGTGTACAAGTAATCAGACAGATAGTGATGATACCTCAGGGGAGAAAGATCTGACATGGCCGCGGCATCCAGCTGCTGAGGTTACCATGGTTACAGCAGGCCTCGATAGGCCGAACGATACGTGCAGAGGCAGGTCCCGCCCACTGGCACCAAGAAGTGTGTGCAGCGGGTCACAGTGCATACAACATAGTGAAGTATTGATCGCGCATGCGCAGTAGAGTGCAAGGTAATTCAGGTAACGGGACGCTGAGTGTGGCGGATTGGGTTCTGCCCACGTAATCAGCGTGCATCAGCGTGACACGGAGGGGAAACAAACAAAGCAAGAGATGCAAAAAGGCAGGAAAAGGGGAAAGAAGTAGAAAAAGATGGGGGGGAATGGAAGGGAATCAGGAAGGAAACACAAAAAGGAAAGGGTGGACAGAGAATGGGGAAAAGGTGTAAAAAGAAAAATAAATAGCTAGAAATGACTAAAGGGAATAGGAGGTATCGTAATACAGTGGGAGAATTCAAAACAATAAGACATCGAAACCCTATATGTAAGGCCTTCTAATAACAACTACTGAACCAGTAGTAAATGAGGAGAGTGCGGAGGAGAGCGCTGCTGTCACTTCAGGATGGCCGAGTGGGGAGGTCGCAGAGCTGATGTTATCCTGTTAGTTTCAGGATGGCCAAGTGGTTCAGGAGGATCGGTAAATATGTGTAATAATAATCACGCCAGTGTTTGCAGAACAAACACTGGAGTGATCGCTGATCACTCCAATGTTTGTAAACAACTGGGAACATAATATGTGCCTCCGGTTATGAATGAGCAGGAAGTGCTTTACATCACTTCCTGTTCATGAGTTTCTGAATGGATAGAAGCAGCTCACTACAGAGGCTTCTATCCATTCATAACTGGTTGATAGTAAATATTTACTATCTCCAGATTGTGAATGAATGGAAAAGCTGTGTTCTGAGTGCTTTCTATTCATTCAGAACAGAGGTTGGAGAAAAAGAGATTGAGGACTCTGTGTCCTCAATTTCTTTTTCGGTTTCGAAAGGGAAATGTCAGAGGTCTGTTTAGACCTGTGATATCTTCATATTTTTCCAAAGCCCCCCCCCCACACACACAGTAAAAAAAAAAAAAGTAAATAAAATAAGAAATAAAAAAACAGATAAAACACAACCGCCCCCTCACTCACACACCCCCACACACTATACACGCACAACATACACGTGCAACAGTGCACTCCATACTGTGGTGTACGTTATGCACTGCTGTGCGTTGTTGGAACACATCGCAGTGCTTGTTTTTTTTTCTTTTTCAAATAACATCAATTGAACTGTGTGGCAGCGCATGGCAAAGTGTCGTGATACGCTGTGTTGCGATTAAATGTACGCCTGCATCATTTTATCACAACACAAACGCACTGATACTGATTTTAGCGTGCTTTTATCAATTGATTTGTATATTTGTATTGGTTTAATATTGATTTGATTATCGCAGGACCTACAAAATTAGAATCACCATTTTTTTTATTCTAGCGGGCCTGTGCTTTCAGAAAATATATGGTTTGGGGGGTCTTTTACAAACACTAAAAGCAGCAATAGAAAATGAAAAAAAAGCAAAAATGGTGTGGCCAGCTGAGGTTAAGTGTTACGCAGGGCTTGGCATCAAAAGTGTTAAGTCATGTATTGTAAAAAAAAAAGTAAAATTCCAATCTGCCTAGAGAAGGCCATCCACCAAAAATGACCAGGTTAGGGGGGCACTTGTCAGAGAAGCAACTAAAATGCCAACTGTAACTCTGAAAGAACTGTAGATATCTACAACTAAAATGGGGGGAAAAATATTCATCTGAAGCCTGCATGCCCCAAATGCCTGGCTTTAGGCTGGGTTCACACCTAGGCGTATTGAATATGCGCGTTTGTCGCGCGTTTCGAGTCGCGCGTTCGCGGTAAAACAACCGCACGACAAATGCTCATTTACGAGGGCTACTTGGCTGTATCCCAATAGAAACGCCCGACCCAAACGCCCCAAAGAAGTACATGTACTTCTTTGGGCGTAGGGCGGTTTCCCACGCGTTCGTACTCGCGGAAAAATGCCCAGATGGGAACCATGCACATTGAAAATAATGGCATTTCCCTGTTTGAGCGTTTTTCCGTGAGTACGAACGCGCGGAAAAACGCCCAGGTGGGAAACGGGCCTTACAGAAGAGTGACAATAAAATGCATTGCTGATAAAACTCTTATTAAATTTAGTTTGGAGTAGCCAAACTATGGAAGAGATGGCAAACATGTTCTCTGGTTTGGTGATAGCAAAATTTAACTTTTTGGCACAAAACATTATGAAGGAAATGTATCAAAACAGGAGCAAACAGATTCTGGAGCAGTTCCCCTTAATAACCAATCAGCTTCTATCTTCCATTTGCTCTGTAAAGCTTTGAAAATGAAAGACGGATGCTGTTTGGTTGCCATGGGCAACTACTCCAGCTTCTGCCTTGTCCAGTTTTGATAAATTCCTGTCTATGTATGGTGAAAAGCCAACACTACTCATTATCTGAGAACATCATCCCCAAAGTTTGGTATGGTGGTGGTAGCATCATGCTGGGGTGATGCTTTTGATTGGAAAATGTCCCATGCATTTCAGGGGGCCTGACACAACCCCCTTCGTGAAGGCTTGGAAATTATGAAAATGAAGGAATGTCCAGTGCAAACAAACTCAGCATTTTGATCTTATTGTAACATTTGTGGATAATTTCCAAGCCCTAAGTTAGGGGGTTGTATCTGCCCCTGAAAAGCGTTGGCGGTTTGATCGACACAAATATAAAACTTTTTTTAAGGACTCTGATATCTGTTTTCTATCCCTGAGTTGCTCCAAATATCTCCTATTGGAGACTGTGAATCTTTGAGCAGCCTAACCATGCGCTAATGAGCAAACTACAAATCAAGTTGGGTCTATCATAAAGAATAGCACGAGACTCCTCCCATTGTCTCTGAAATATTTGCACAATTTAATTGACAAGGGCTATGATGTCAGGATTTAGGGCAAGATAATTTAGGATAAACACTTGTTTCAGCTTGCATGAAACCTGAGATTGGGCCAGTTTCACTTCACATCATAATGATGTCTTAAACACATAGCCGGAGCTGCATTGGAGTGTTTTAACACCAAGCACCTGAATGAATCAGAATGGGCCAAAATCTTGCTAGATTTAAAAGTATACTGTTTACCAACAGTCCCCAGAATTACAGCAATATAACCATGTAGAATGGGTAAATATTGCAAGATTCAGATGTGCAAAGCTAGAAACTTGCAACTGAAGCTAAAGTAACCATTTTGGCGCGTGAATACAGCTTTGATTTTTATTGAGCTTTTGTGTAGCCGTAAAAAAAAATTTACAAAAATATTTTACATCTTTAACAAAAAAATTAGATATGTTCACTCTAGATCACTCTTTTCATTAGATCATTCAGATACACTGCATGCAGCCTTCTGTTCTCAAATGATTGCACATAATTTCAATAACCTATGAATTGCATCACTGTTTCAACAAATATAGTTGCAGGTGTTCATATTTGTAAAACAATGTTCATAACAAATTTTTTTGTCATTTTATTAAATCTGTTTCTTGCTGATGGCTTTGCAAATTATTGGATTACTTTTTAAATGTACAGTGGGGCAAAAAAGTATTTAGTCAGCCACCAATTGTGCAAGTTCTCCCACTTAAAAAGATGAGAGAGGCCTGTAATTGGCATCATAGGTAGACCTCAACTATGAGAGACAAAATGAGAAAACATATCCAGACAAATCACATTGGCTGATTTGGAACGAATTTGTTTGCAAACGGCACGCATTCAGAATGGCATCATTGGGATGAACGTATGCAGTGTCACAATTATTTCTGTCCAGTGCTGCATTCGTTTTTCACCAAGATCTTGTAGTGATGATGGGAGAGTCAGACCACTATGTAAAGTCTTCTCCAGGACATCCGAAAGATTCTCAATGGGATTAAGGTCTGGGCTCTGTGGTTGCCAATCCATGTGTGAAAATGATGTCTCATGCTCCCTGGACCTCACTTTCACAATATGAGCCCAATGAATCCTGCCATTTTCATCTTGGAATATGCCCTTGCCATTAGGAGAGGAAAAACCCATTGATGGAAAAAAAACTGGTCATTCAATATATTTGGGTAGGCAGCTGACCTCATTTTGTGGAGACATGATTTATAAAACTTATGAATCACTCTAGTAATTATCCAACTGAAGGCTCTTATTTTGTTAGCCAAATCCAGGTGGTTTCCAGGGGGTTTTTTTGACAGGCAATCCAGAATGCAGACCAAAGCAACAGGTTCATTCACTTTAATGATAACACCGCCCCCCCCATTCCCAGCAGACCATGCTTACCTTCCATTGGTTCATCTGTCCCTCTATTCAGCAATCTCAAAGAAAAATAAATACTTGTGTAACTTGTGTAAGCTATGTGTTGGCCCAGCATTATCACATGAAGTGAGTCACAAACCCGGAAGTACCAGGGTATTCCTTCAACTTCTGGCCCAGAGCGGGATGGCAGAAGGCAAAGGGAAGGTCTATATAGTAACCTTTCATCTTCCCTATCCGGCACATTAACCCCTTCATCTCCACCCTCCCACTGTATGTGATCTTTACATTAACCCCTTCACCTCCTGATCCATCAGTGTTCGACCTGATGATCTGTATCTAGTGTGTCATTACCATGTTTTAATCCCCATAATATCAGCCTGTTTCTTTTTTTCCCCAAAAAAAGTTACAAAAAATTTAGATCACCTTTGGGAGCCTACTTTCTAAAAAGGGGTAATTTCAAAGTTTCTTTTGTACTATGCTGGCATCTATATTGTAATGGAAAGTAACTGGGAAACCGGGCTTTTTTTATTTTTGGTCTTTTCTCTTTCTTTAGTAAAAAATTAAAAACCTAGTGGTTCTTAAATACCAGGCTATTAAATACCAGGAAAAGAAAGCGCTATCTAAAAAAAAAAAATCTAAATAATTTGAATATAGTGTTGCATGAGCGAACAATTGTCAGTCAAACTATCACAGCACTGAGGGCTAGTTGACACCGGCCCCAGTGTGTTTCCGGCCCGATTGGTACTGGATCGCCTTCTGGCCGGCTCACTTTGTTTTGGGGCGGGAGCGGGAGCAACATTGCATTAAAGTCAATGGCACCACAGCCATGCCCTCCGGCCGCAGTGCGATTGCCCGTGTCGAAACGCGTGGCACATCAATGCCTGTGTTCCGGTCTGGTGCAGTCAGGAAAAATTGTCTCTTTCCGCATTTTTTCTGACCGGAACGCGAGCACTGATATTCCAGTGCAGGTGATCACACTGCGTTTGGAGGACGTGGCTGCAGTGCCATTGACTTCAATGCATTGACGCGCCCCCTCTCGGCCCAGCAAAGTGAGCTGGCCGGGATGCAAAACAGTGCGTTCTGGCATCAAATCGGGCCGGAACGCACTGGGACTGGTGTGAACTAGCCCTGAAAGCTGAAAACTGGCCTGGTAATGTAGGGCTGGGATTATTATTATTCAGGTCTTATATAGTGCTGACAGTTTGTGCAATGCTTTACAATTTATGAAAGACATCAGTTACCATACAATTCAAGACAAGATGGTTAAGAGGGCCCTGCCCATAAGATATTACAGGCTGGTACCCAAGTGGTTAAAAATGTCAGTTTTGCTCTTAGTGTATTTTACCGTTACACTCAAATGAACAGATGAATGCAGTGGAGGAGGAGGAAGTATCGCTCAAATCTGTCTGAGGCACATCTAGGGGTACACACAACACAGACATGAGATTACATTTGAACACAAGTGTGGAAAGTCTGCCACCTA